AGGGAGGGCGAGGAGTAGGAGCCAGAAACCCAGGGGTTCTGGGCTTCCTCAGTGACCATTGGTGACCTTGTCCCAAGCTACTGGGGCCCAGGTGTCCTGAGCTCAGTTTTCTTCGGGCTTCTTCCATCCCTTAGGATCCAATGCGGTGGACAAGAGCGAATCCCAGGATGTTGTACATGAATACGAATCACCTAGTCCAGAACCAAAGTCTGGAAGGGATGATGGTGATCCCGAGAGTGGAGACTGGGCCTCCAACAAGGTGGGAGGTGGCACTGCTAACCAAGATAGAGGAGGAGGCTGAGGATCACCCTCGGGCTCTGGGAGGGGTGGGGCTAAAACACTGCAGCCCAATCAGTGGCCCCGTTTACTGGTTGGTGGAATCGGTTGTGACTGGGCTAGGAGAGGCTTTGCGTGTACCCCACTCACAACATAGAGGATTTGAATTAGTGTGAGCACATTAAAATCCAGCCCACCGAAAGGCAGCGAACTTTGGAGCAGTGATACAGAAGGGCCGGCCATGGCACTCACTTTCGTATTGATAAAAGTGAGTTAAATAGTTTCAATTGAGTAGATCCGGACCGTATTATCTAGTTCGAATCAAGACTAGTTTTAGTTGAACAGAATGCAAAGGAATTCGATCAGTAGATGGACTGGGCATGGCTGCAGAGAGAAGCTGATGGTGTCGGCCAATCAACAATGATTGAGGCTTGGCTGGGTGGGACCCTTGAAAGCACTGACCAATCAGCAGGTGGCTGAGATATTTGACCAATAATCAGAGATCATCCTGGAGAGTGGGCGTAACCACGGGGCTGGGATGGCTGGTCACTATTTTGCTGGGGTGGGGCGGGGTCTGGGCTGTCCGTCAACTTGAATTTGGCGCGTGGGTCAGGAAGAAGACTTGGAAGAAAAACTGGAAGAAAAGGAAGAAGAGTCGGAGTCTACACTGAGGAACTTGCCAGAGGTGGCTGACGAGGCAATGTCCGAGGCCCCGGAAGGCGATGGCGGCTCGAGGTTCAGCGATGTGGGGAGCTCGCCTCTCTCGTCTGTCCTTGCCCCAGGCCCTCAGCTAGGCGAGGACATGGAAGCATATGTGCTGCGGCCAGCGGTGCGCGGCTGCACAGTGCAGTGTTGCATTAGCCGCGACAAGCGCGGCGTTGACAAGGGCATGTTCCCTTTCTACTATCTCTACCTGGAAGCGGTCGGTGGCCAGGGCCGGAAGGTGCGGTCTGGCAGCCTCGGGAGCAAGCCCCACTTCCCAGTGGCAAGTCCCGTCCCTTTCTGAGTGAGGTCAAGACTTTTGCGAATCCAGGCTTTGATCAGTGAGCCAGGACCTGTCAACTCCAATTACAAAACTTCACAGGACTAAGCTCTTTAGGTTCCCAGTGGCAAAGGCCCTACCCATCCCATAGCCAAGACCTGCCCAATATTAAGATGTGCCCGCCTTTCTCAAAGACAGGCCACGCCCTCTCCAGGGTCCAAACCCCCCACTCGCTACATACCGGCTACATCCCATCAATGTAGGTAGGTCCAAGTCTGGCCACTACACTGATACCTTCTTCACAATAAGGCTCCACCCTAATCCTGGGATAAGCCCTGCCCCCTCAGGAACCAAGCCCTCCCCCATAGATTTCCTATCCAGAGCCAAGCAATTCCCCTTTCAGTCTGGCCATCCTCTCCTCAAGGGACTCTCCCAGAAAGGGGTCCACTTGTCCCAGGTGAAACACCTACTAAATTCCAATTGCCATGTTCAAAATGAGGCTCCTCCCTTTTCTCCAAAGCTAGTCCCTGCCTACCAGTCAGGTTCTCTCCTGCCTGGGCTCCGCCTAAACTGTGGACCCCATGGTGAAAGGACTAAAGGAGATATATTAAAATGTGAATCTCCCCTTTGGGACCCAGCTGATGACTCCCTTCAGTGAGAAGTGCATCTCCCAGCAAGCCTTGGGGCGCTCGTTGCCTCATTACCCCTTCCTCTGTCTTAGGGACACAGTGTTTCCTTGTCTTTTAGACCCCTGGCCTTAGCCAGATACCGGAAATAGAATCTGATGGGCTGTTCTCATACCCACAGCACTTCCTCCTCGCTGGGCGCAAGAGGAAAAGGAGCACAACCTCTAATTACCTCATCTCCCTGGACCCCACAGACCTGTCTCGGGACGGGGACAACTTTGTGGGCAAAGTCAGGTAGGCAGAGCCCTGATATGTGTGAGAAACAGGTGGCAGATGACAGGGAGGGCACCTGGGGGGAAGAAAGGGACAATTGAACTACATTGCCCAGCAGGCCAGAGAGCACAAGTTCTATCTGCTCTAGGGCTTTTTTTCTTAGGGCTGATGGGCTCTGTAGTTCTTCAGGTTGGAGCCCTATGATAGGTTGGAAATAGAACCGAAGGTTTTGGGCAGAGACTGGCATTTAAGACATTTGACTTCTTGAGAGGCAAGGGGCACCCTGGCCAAGTGGCTCAGTTGGTCAGAGCGTCTTCCTGTACAGCAAAAGTTCCTGGGTTCCATCACCAGTCAGGGCACATACTTCGGTTGCGGGTTCAATCCCAAGTTGGGAGTGCATACGGGAGGCAACTGATGGATGTTACTCACATTGATCTTTCTCTCTCTGAACCATCAATTAAAAAAATAAAAAGGCAAAGGGCTGGCACTCCTAAGTTCCCAAGTACAAAACAGAGCCAGGAGCTGTGAGTTCTTGCATCCTAGAGGGAAGAGGGCTCTTAAAGGCCCAAGGCATGAAACTAAGAATCGTGGCTTATAGGGCTGGGACTGTGGATATACGGAACACGGAAATGAGTCTTGTGTGGAGGATTGATGGGAAGAGTTGATAAGATGACAGGGGAAAGCAGTTCACATACCACATAACCGTAATGATTATTTTATTCTGGCCACCGCCTTCCTGGAGCAGGTCTAATGTCTTGGGCACCAAGTTCACCATCTTCGACAATGGGGTGAACCCCGAAAGGAAGTATTTCATCCCAGAGACTGCTCGGATCAGGGAGGAGCTAGGCGTTGTGTGTTACGTGAGTGTCCGGGAGACCAGAGAGTGAGTGGAACTGAATGGTGGGGAGGGACGAAGAGCCTGGCCAACGGGAGCATGATACCCGCAGGAGACCAACGTCTTGGGGTTCCGAGGGCCTCGGAAAATGACTGTGATCATTCCAGCAATTGACGCCCAGAACGAGAGAATCAGTGTCCAGCCGCAAAATGTGAGTTGCATAAGGAAGAGAATCTGTGGGTCAATAGAGGGGGAAGGGCTGGGGGAGAGGCTCTAGGTCCTAAGGGAGGAGGGGACGGGGAGGATGGTCACACTTCTGTGTCTCAAGGAGGAGAGAGTAGGAACCCAAACTTCTGGGTCCGGAGAAAAAAGAGCTTGTTGGTGGTAGCTTAACCACGCCTCCTACTTTATCCTCCAGGAAGGGGAGTCGCTACTGAGTCGCTACCAACGGGGGGCCAACCAGGGGCTGGTCCTGCTGCAAAACAAAGCCCCATCCTGGAGCGAAGAGACCGGCAACTACGTTCTCAATTTTCATGGCCGAGTCACTCAGGCCTCGGTCAAGAACTTCCAGATCATGCATCCAGATGATCGTGAGCTGCTAGGAACCACTTTACCTGGGCAAGGCGGGCAGGGTGGGGGGTCCTGTGGGGCGGGGGCTCGAACGCTGGAGAACTACGCTCTTGAGCGTTTTCCTCAGCGTGGCCCAATCCACGCTGTTGCAAAGCCTGTTGGGAACTGTAGTTTATACGGCCCTCAGAGGGGTTTCGGGCTTAGTAAGGACGCCGCACAGGTTCTTGGGAGTCTTAGGTTTTACTTGTCAGACGCGGCAGGAAAGAGACTGACTAAGCTTAGTTCCTGACTTCCTCCTAAGCCGACTACTTGGTGCTTCAGTTTGGTCGCGTGGCCCCAGACATGTTCACCATGGACTTCTGCTTCCCGCTCTGCCCACTGCAAGCCTTCGCCATCTGTTTGTCCAGTTTTGATGGGAAACTGGCGTGTGAATAATCCACGGAAATATAATACCTTTTAACAGCTCCTGCGCCTGCTTATTTGGAGAAAGGGCTTTCGCCTGCCTTCTTTTGCACCACATAACCAACACCTATTAGACGCCTCTTGGATACCCAGTCCCAGGTTTTAGGGAGTGGGCTATTCAGAAGCACCTGCTGTGGTGGGTCTCAATGGATTATGGGAAATGAGTCTTAAGCGACAAAAAATCAAAATGCTCCTCTACTGGGAAGCAGAAAACCTCAAGGAGGCAACAAGCCAGCTGGGTCAGAGGAAGGGATCCCTAAAAAAAGTGGTTTTCATGCCACACCTGAAGAATCACGCAGAACTAGCTGAGCCAGGGGTCAAGAAATGGGAACATTAGACAGTAGGCAGAACTCATGTGAAGGTCTTAAGGTGGAAGGGGCTTGGTTGCTTTAGGAAAATGAAAGCATAGTGTAGTGGAACCCTGGGAAACGATCCTTTAGTGGAGGTGGAGCAGGGTATGAAGCTGGACGGTCCTCTTGTTTTGAACTGCTGGACAGACCTTATGGGTCAGAGGGAAGTTCTATGCTGGAGACATAAGGTATATGCAAGTGTCAGCCACATTTTACAGATAAGGAAGCTGCATCAGTAAAGACGAGGCTTGTAAATGTTAAATTAGGCAGCTGAAAACTGAGGAACTCACCATGTAAAGGCCAGGAGGAGGATGAGCCTTTTTATTTCAGGAAAATGCAGGAAACTGGAGTTTAGCCCCTTTTTAGAGATTACAACTCCAACCCCCAGTCCTCTTGGAAAAAGAATTGTCCCAGATTTAATAATATGTAGGTAGAAGCCAAAGAGAAACTACAAAACCCACCAGCCCTTTGTTCTAAAGGAGCCTCAGAACCAGAAGACCCATTGGAGGGAATGATGGGAAATATAGTTCATCTCTACTAAGGTACAAGCCTCTTTGCTACTCCCCACTGCCTCTAGGACCCAGGAGTTGTAGATACTGTCAGTTCAGATACACACAGTGACATTCTTCAGTATAAATCCAAAGGCTTTATTTCTTAAACCAGCTGGTAAAAAATAAATAAATAGTAACAAACACCACATGACCCTAGCTACGCCTCCAGCTGAGGTCTAGGCAAGGAGGCGCAGCCACATAAATAGGGAAGGGAGAAATCACAGCATGGCTCAAGGGCGTGGCCTGGACAGAGGATGTGGGCAAGGTCTGGGTAGTGGCAGGTGTGGCAGCTGGAGGAGGAGGAGGAGGGGAAGGGTCCCTGGGGCGTGCCCAGGCCTTGGCACGGGCTGCAGGAGTGAAGCAGGGGCCCAGCACCTCCTCAGCCTGTGCAATTCGGCGAGCAAAGCGGCTGCGATCTCGGGCGAGTTGCTCCCAGGGGCCTTGCCGGGCAGCCTGGGCGGGTCCAGCCCAGACAACCAGGAAGTGGATGGAGACCTTCTCAGAGAAGCGCACCTGGAATAGGACCGGCACGGACACGGTGGGGGGGGGGGGGGACACAGATACAGACACAAGACACACGTGGGCACAGGTTGGGCAAGGGAGGGGAGAGAACCAAATAAGAATTAGACAAAAATGCTTGTTATGTGATTAGTCACCTGCCTGTCACCGGATTCTCCATCTGACTCACCAGGGCTGACAAGAGCCACTGCTGCTTCCTCCTCCTCCCAAGGGGGCCCAGCCTCTTGCAAAGGATTGCATTACAATAAACACAGCTCTCCCCGTGGAGTTCACATGCAACCCTGTGCAACACACCCAGGACCCAAAAGTCCTCGCTCCCTCCTCCCTAACACTCAAGAATCTGAGCCCTCAGCACCCACCTTTGTGGTCTTTTGGGGGGTCTCAGGGTCCAGATGTCGGGTGGGGGCTTCTGCAGACTTGAGCCGCCTTTGCAGTCGAGCAGGCAACCGAGGAAGAGCCCAGGGAGGTGGTGGCTTCTCTCCAGGCAAATAGATGGCCACTCGGAAGGGGTGGGGCTCAGCTTCTCCTTCCTCTGTCTCCTTTCCAGGTGCAGATCTTGGGCCCCTGAAGAAGGAACTCTGGGCCTGAATGGAAGAACCTGGCTCTGAGCCAGCTGCTTCTGAGCCATCTTTCTCATTCTCCTCATCTTCCTCCTCTGAGTCCTCTCCTGGTCGGTACACCCAGGACCTCAAGAAGGCACTTGCAGGGGATATGGAAGAGGGACCCTCAGCTTCTCCCTCCTCCTCAGCTGCTCCTGAATTGCTGTCTTCCTCTTCTTCCTCCTCATCCTCTGTGTCCTCTCCTGGTCTGTACACCCAGGCCCTCAAGAAGGTACTTGTTGGGGGAATGGAAGAGGGACCCTCAGCTTCTCCCTCGTCTTCAGATGCTCCTGAATCACTGTCTTCCCCTTCTTCTTCCTCATCCTCTGTGTCCTCTCCTGGTCTGTACACCCAGGCCCTCAAGAGGGTACTTGTTGGGGGGATGGAAGAGGAAACTTCAGCTTCTCCTGAATCACTGTCTTCCTCTTCTTCCTCCTCATCCTCTGTGTCCTCTCCTGGTCTGTACACCCAGGCCCTCAAGAAGGTATTTGTGGGAGGGATGGAAAAGGGACCCTCAGCTTCTCCCTCGTCCTCAGATGCTCCTGAATCACTGTCTTCCCCTTCTTCTTCCTCATCCTCTGTGTCCTCTCCTGGTCTGTACACCCAGGCCCTCAAGAGGGTACTTGTTGGGGGGATGGAAGAGGAAACTTCAGCTTCTCCCTCCTCCTCAGCTGCTCCTGAATCACTGTCTTCCTCTTCTTCCTCCTCATCCTCTGTGTCCTCTCCTGGTCTGTACACCCAGGCCCTCAAGAAGGTGCTTGTAGGAGAGATGGAAGAGGGACCCTCTGCTCCTCCCTCCTCCTCAGCTGTTCCTGAATCATTGTCTTCCCCTTCTTCTTCCTCATCCTCTGTGTCCTCTCCTGGTCTGTACACCCAGGCCCTCAAGAAGGTGCTTGTGGGAGAGATGGAAGAGGGACCCTCAGCTTCTCCCTCCTCCTCAGACTCTTCTCCTGAATAGCACTCCCAGGCGCTGGGGTGGGAGCCAGCACATGAGGAGAAAGTGGAGGTCTTCCTGGTTTCTTTATTCTCTGTTCGTTCTTCCTCCTTCGCTGGAGCCTGTGCCTCCCCTGCGCAATACCCCCGAGCTCTGGGCTTGGGTCCTGGAGATAAGGGGGAAGTAGACATGATGGGAGCTTCCTGACTTACAGCTTCTCCATCTTCCTCCTCCTCCATCCCTGGGCCACTCTCCCAGTGTGATGGAGGGAAAGAGAACATGATGGCTGTATCTTCAGCAACTCCTCCTTCTTCAGATTCCTCTTCCCTGGGAGGGTCTTGCAGAGTTTTCAGGAGGCTGGGGGACGGGGGAGCGAGCTGGCCGTCTGTATATTCACTTCCGTGTTCTGTGGGGCCACTGGTTGCTTCTTCCCCACCATACTCTTCGTCATTATCATCTGAAGGTTCCCAGGCTTCCAGAAGAGAACTGTTGGCTTTTAAGGCAGGGCAGGCCTTCCAGGAAGATTCTCCATCCTCCACAGGGGCTCCACTGCCTTCAGCCACCCCTGGAGGGTGTCCGCCCCAGGGGGCATAGCGAGTGGCCAAAGCAGCCTCAGCTTCTCCCTGCAGGGCAGCTTCTCCCTGATCTGCACTCTGTACCGCTTCCGCCAGCCAGGGCTTTGGAGGTCCTGGGCCCCTCAGCCGGCTCCAGGCCCGGCTGAGAAGGGCCATCAGCGGGGACAGGAGGAAGAAGGGGTGGACATCCCTCCAGGGGAGCTGATGCGGCACTTGGCGTGGGGCCATCTGTCTCGGCTGGGGGAAAGGCGACAAGGTTTGGAAGCCATTTAGTAAACAACACAAAGGGATGCCCTTGAGTCATACAAGGGGAAATACTAATACAAATAGCAACAAGTGAGTCCCTGCCCACATTCCTTTCCCGTTCCAGCCACTCCCATCTCTGGCCTTTGGTTCCCACCTCTTTCTCCTTTCAATAGCTAGGAGTCTGGGTCCCCATTCGCTCCTTCCTCAGATCCAAGAGTCCAAGCCCCCAGCCCTTCTTCCCTCAGACCCAGAAGTCCCAGTTCCAAGTGGCGAGAGCACTTGATCCCCTTCGGGATCGAGTCCTAGTCCCTGGTTTTCTCATTTTCCTGAAGTCTGACAAATCAGGCCCCCATCTTCCTCCTCCTTCCCGACCCAAAACTTCCGGCCGGCCCCCCGCCCCCCCGCTGGGGACCCGAGTCTAACTCCTACACCCCTCGTCCATCAGGCTCAGCACTCCAAGCTCCTAATGCTTCCACTTAAGTCGGAGGCCTGGAGTATGTCCCCATCCCGTGCCACCGCTCCCCAGACACAGGAAAAATTCCAGGCTCCCAGGCCCTCTTCCTCAGGATCCAGGAGTCCCGGCCCCAAACCTCCCTGTCTCATTACCAAGAAGTCCAAATTCTCGCCTTATTAACGACCACAGGTCTGACACCTAGCCCCCAACCCCTGGACACCCGAGCGTTCCGATCCCTCACTCACCGGATGGAGGCCGTGCGTCACCCAGGAGGCAGTAGGGCCGGCTCGGGCTTCCACACACGATCGCGGGTCCGGAAGGCTCGGGAGGTCAGCGTTTTCATTTCACTCTCCGGCGTTGGGTCAGGGACTCAGGTTATCACCAGTCGCTGCAGGCGCTGTCGCGACAAGCGGGCGCAGGGTCATACAGGGTGGCGCATGAAGAAAACAACTGGTGGCGACAGATCAGATAGCGCCAACGCCGCCCGCAAGGCTTTTATAGTCGAACGCTACCGGACGTGCTTACGTATCGAGGAGAGGCGGAGTTTCGAAACTGGAGACTGGAAAACAGGAAGGGAAAATGAAGGTTGGAATTCTCGCGGCGATTCCAGGGTTTGTAACGTCACGGCGGCGGTTTGAATGTGGCCACGCCCCGAAAAAAGCGATCTGTCAATCAAATGCGTAACCTGCTCCCCCGGTGAGGGAGCGCCCTCAACACGTTTCTGGAAAATACCTTCCCACCCCAATTTATCCAGCAGCTCCCAGTCTAGGGTCTACCACCTTCAGATTCGGTGGGCTTCCTTCCCGGTGTAGGAGAATATTATTATTTTTTTTATTAAAATTTAAAAAGATTTTATTTATCTATTTTTAGAGAGGGGAGGGAGAGAGAAACATCAATGTGCGGTTGCTGGGGGCCGTGGCCTGCAATCCAGGCGTGTGCCCTGACTGGGAATCGAACCTGCGACACTTTGGTTCGCAGCCCAGACTCAATCCACTGAGCTATGCCAGCCAGGGCTTATTATTGTTTTTATTTCACAAACGAGGAAACTGAGGCTTGGGAATGAAATCACCTGCCGGTGATGGTCACAGTAGAGTGTAGATTCATTGCAAATGGAAACAAGAATGTAAGCTCTCTGAATGCAGGCCCCTTGCTTTCCTCACTGCTTTCTTCTCAGCGCCTGGCACATAATAGGTACTCACCCAATATTTGGTGAGTAGATACAGAACTAAAAGCTGAGACCTCCTGTGGTTTCATGCACAAGGCTCTATGGGTGGGTTTCACCCGCTTCAGAATTCCTCAAGAGCTCCAATTACACCAACTGAAATTCTAGTTAGATGGTGTCGACTGAACTTCATGGAGCGGCCGTCTTCTTCCAGAAGTTCCAGGCCCAGGGAGAGAGTCCCAATTCCCCAGCCCCATCCCCCCACCTGGTCCATGATTTTGCTCCTCAAAATATGCCCAGGGACCATGTCGCCCTCTTGAGGGGTTAGCCTCAGTCCGAGCAGAATTCTCCCCTGGACCTGAGCTGGAAAGCTGACCCCATCTGCTTGTCCCTGTTCTAGTCACAGTCCAGGAATCCAGGGCCACTCCCTCCTCCCCAGAGGACCTGGACGCATCCATCCGTCACGCTTCCAGACTCCCGCTCCTTTACCGGCTCAGGAGGCAGGAGTCCTGGCTAGCCCCTTCCCAGATACCCAGGGGTCTGAAACCCCACCCCTTCCAAGATGCAAGCTGTCTCCATTCAGGGCGCCAAGGACTCCGGCTCCTTCCCCGACCATCCCTCGGGGACCCTGGAGTCCAGCCCCAGCTCCTACTCTCCAAATATGTAGAACTGGCAGCCTCAGCCCTTACGGGACCCCGGTTCTCCAAGCCCTAAACCAGCAGGGACCCAGGAGTCAGGGGGGCCCCAGTTCCTCCCCTCCACTGTAGGGGCTGCTGAGCCAGGGGTCAGGCTGTGGTGGGGAGGCCAAGAGGGGCGGGGTCAGCCGGGACTGGGAGGGGAGACAGCAGCGTGGGCGGCTGGCAGAGGGAGGGAAAGACCAGCAGAGAGAAAGACACTGGGAGAGGGGGGAAGAGAAAGTGAGGAGAAGAATCAGGGAGAGGAGGAAGCAGAAGTGGAGGGCCATAGAGACAGAGAAAGAGAAATCCATTGAGTGTGAGGGGAAGAGGGAGAGACTTAAGGAAGAGACTCTTGGAGCCTGAGAGAAAAGGATTTGGATAGAAACAGAAAGATTGGGAGAGAAAGTGATTAGGGCTGTGTGAGAGAGAGGGAGAGAGGGAGGGAGAGAGGAAATGAGTGAGGGAGAGACTGGAAGAGACAGAGATTAGCAAGGGAGAGAGACAGAGGGTGAGACCGGAGTCTGAAAGACAGGGAGCGTGTGAGAGCGCGAGAGACCATCAGGGGCAGACGACTGTGTGAGCGTGCAGCTGAGTGAGACCGAGGCCTATGAGAGGCAGCACCTGACAGACCGAGGAGGGAGGCTGTGGCTGGGTGCCCCAGCACGCATACCGCCCTCTTGCCCCCTGTCCTTGGAACCCCAGAGCCGGTAAGTTCCCAGGTGGGCTGGGAGGGAGGACGGCCTGGGTGTGCATTCCTGGCCCCCCAGGGCTTGGCAGGCACGGTTTGAGGTGCACGAGGGAGGGTGGGAGACAAGTAGCTGGGGGCAGCCGGAAAGAGGCAGGGAGTGGGGGGTCCCCAAGCACAGAGAGGGTCAAATTCCCGGCCAGAGTGCAGGGGGCAAGAAGAAAGGAGCCCCTATTCTCTGTCTTGGGCCGCACACAGCTCCCCCCTCCCCACAGCTGCCAATGACGCCCACCTCTCTTGGCATCGCCCTTGGTATGCGGTCCCTGGGCCAGGGCTCCCCCAGCCCCCCAGGTCCCAGACAACAGGCTCTTTCTCCTCAGCCTCCTCCGACCTGCGAGAGACCGTGACCTCGTCTCTGTCCCCAGCTGGGTCAGCTACAGAGACACACACACACAGTCCCTTTCTTTCTCTCCCCAAGCCCTTGATGGAGGAGGGCAGGCCTCGGAGCAGCCTCAGCCTGGCCAGCAGCGCCTCTACCATCTCCTCCCTCAGCAGCTTAAGCACGAAGGTTGGAACTCCTTGCTGGGGCTGGGAAGGAGGGGAGGGCTCCGGGGTGCCCCATCCTCCTGTCTCCTAGCCCTGGGCTAGGCGCTACCCCAGGGACTCTGGTTGTGGCTCAGTGACTGGGGTGTTGTCCTAGGAATCGAACCAGCGACCTTTCAGAAGGTCGCTGCCTCGATTCCCAGTGAAGGCACACGCCTTGGCTACAGGTTTGGTCCCCGGTTGAGGGCATGTTTGAGAGGCAACCGATCAATGTTTCTCTCTCATATGGATGTTTCTCTCTCTCTTTTTTTCCCTCCCTTTCCCTTGCTCTAAAAGTAAAGAAATTAAATCTCTGAAAAAACAAATAAGTGAAGAGCAAGGATCCTCAGCGATGGTGTCGGCCAGACCCCATTCCTTACTGAATTGCCCCCTAGCTGCAGCTAGGAATTCCGAGACATGAGACGCTTCCAGCTGTCCCCACCCCTAGTGTTTTCCTGATTCAAAGCCAGAGTAACAACCCGGTGACTCTGGTTGCTAAGATAAGGCCACTCCCCAGCCCAGAGCGCTGCCCCACCCCTAGAAACTCAGGAGCAGAGGCTACTCTTGGTTAGGACTGAGAACTTCCTGTCCTGTGTCTAGCCACCCCACCTACCCAGTTCCGAAATTTGACAAGGGAAGACCATTTTCCAACAATGAGGCCCCATGAGGCTCAAGGTACTTGCACTCCAAGGGGTCACCCCAGCCCAGAGTTCGGTGACACTTGTTTCTCGTCCTTCTGCCATTCCCCTTTCTCATTCATTTCCAGTTTCCCAAGGTCAGAATCCATAGATTTGAATGTTACCTCGGCCGGCACCCTCCCTAAGGGCATCCTGTGGGAATGTGGCTGTGGATGCCTGAGATGCCTGTGTGCCCAAGGGGAGGGGGCTCTGTCCATTGGGACAGAGAGATTCAGAGCCCCCTCTACCCAGGACATGGTTTGGAAGGGATGTCTCTCTCTGGCACCGAAGTATCCTTTGATTCTGGCTGACCCATCACCAGGCACTCAGCATGGAGGCCCCTCCGGATTATGGGGACCTCCCAGGCAGTGTATCCAGTTCAGATCCCAAAGGTTGTCCCACATCTGTGGCCAAGGGCACCCTCTCCTTGGCTGTGGACTGCTAATTCCAAACTTCCTTCCTCATTAAGCCAGTAGCCTCTTCCTTGCTTCGGAACCCCTCTCTCCACACATGAAAAGTGTCTCTCAACTCTGCACTATGCATACCCCATTCTGGTCTCAACCTCCTCCACCTGGCTTCTGTGGGCACCCAAGCGAGGGGGTCGCCTGCATCCCATGGCACTGCCTCCCCAGGGCCAGACGGAGGCCCTGCTCACTTCTGTCCTTCCCTCCTCAGAAGTCCGCCCGGTCAGTGAGCAAGGTGCACGCCTTCGGGAAGAGAGGCAATGCGCTCCGACGGGACCCTAACCTCCCGGTGCACATCAGAGGCTGGCTGCACAAGCAGGTGGTGTGAGTGGGAGACGGAAAGGGCACTCCAGCTGGTGTTACAGGCTGTGCCCCTGGCTGTCTGCTGCTTCTCTCCTTCCCAGTCACCAAATTTATTTCTTTGTGATCACGCCTTCTCCCCTTATTCTGTCCTTGTTTCATCCACCCATTCATTCATTCATTCATTCAGTGACCGCTCCTTGGACATTACAGTCTGTCAAGCTCTGGGTCACATACCATGCAAATAGGACAAGTATCTATATAGTCCATTCAAAATGAGGGTGGAGCCCTGGCTGGTGCGGCTCAGTGGATTGAGTGCCGGTCTGTGAACCAAAAGGTCACCAGTTTGATACCCAGTCAGGGCACATGCCTGGGTTTCAAGCCAGGTCCCCAGTAGGGGGAGCTCGAGAGGCAACCACACATTGATGTTTCCCCTCCTCTCTTTCTCCTTCCTTTCTCCCTAAAAATAAATAAAGTCTTTTTTTAAAAAGGATTTTTTTATCCTCCTTGAGGATGGAGTGGGAATAGATAACAAATTAATGTATAAATGGAATAAATGAAATAATAGATGTTGTATGTAATATGTAAATAAAATATGTGAAGTCAGTGGTTTCGGACTGTAGGAATTCCCGTTAAATGGAATGCCGTGAAGAAGTAACACAGGGGGATGTTTTTGAAAGTGGCTGAGGGGCAAAAGCCACCTTTGTCTGTTGGTCAGGGAAGGCATCTCTGAGGAGGTGACATTTGAGCTGAGAACTGAATGACAAGAAGGAGCCCATAATGCTAAAATCTGGGGGGTGGGGGACAGCGGGAATCTGAACGCAAAAGGCCTGGCATCAGACCAGTGCTTGGTGTTTGGAGCGAGGGGACAGATGGGGTGATGATTCTTGAAGTGTGGTCCCAGACTAGCAGCTTCAGCATCACCTGGGAACTTGCTGGACA